GTCGACCGTGTGCTAGACACTGTGTTGGCCATACAATGATAATGAGATGGTATCCCTCCCCCTCCAACTTTTGCAACCTGCATAGTCCTTCCCTTCCGTCCTCCCTTCCACCCCCCCCCATTCCATTGGGCCCTTGCCTGTCTAGTTCAGGTTTCAGTTTATTTTATTTTACTTTTTAAAATATTTTATTTATGTATTCATGAGAGACACACAGAGAGAGAGAGGCAAAGACATAGGCAGAGAGAGAAGCAGGCTCCATGCAGGGAGCCCGATGTGGGACTAAATCCCGGGACTCCAGGATCACACCCTGGGCAGGAGCTCAGCCACCCAGGTATCCAAGGTCTCAGTTTAAAATGTCCCTTCAGGGCACTTGGGTGGCTCAATCTGTTAAGCGTCTGCCTTTGGCTTAGGTCATGATCTCAGGGTCCTGGGATCGAGCCCCGCATCGGGCTCCCTGGTCCAAGGGGAGTCTGCTTCTCCCTGTCCCTCTGCCCTGCTTGTGTGTGTGTGCTCTCTCTTAAATAAATAAAATCTTTTAAATAAATAAATGTCCCTTCATCTGAGAAATCTTGCCTGACTACTCTTGAGACTGGCTGTGCCTCACAGCACCCTCCCTCTACCTATTCCCATGCATTTCTTACTAGGGCTTCTAATTGTTGACTTGTCTATTTTTCCCCATTGGCATCTACGTTGCTTACAGTTTAAGACCTTTCCTCTGCTTGAGCAAGAAGAGCAGAGTGAGCCATGCTACTAGGAGCCACACCAACTCTATTTTGCCAGGGCAATGGACACCAAGCTCACTGAGGGCAGCAGAACTCTGTCTACAGGCACCATCATACCCACAATACTTAGTGCAATACCTGGTATATGGTAATTACTCAGAAATTGTTTGCTCTTTGAAGAATGAATGGAAAAAAAGAATGAATGAGCCACTTGACTTTATGCTAAATGTTGGAACAGAACTTTGAGAAATGTCCTATTTCTTGGGCAGAGAAAAGATCACAGAGGAGGAGGGCTATTATGTTGGGAGGTGGATTAATGAACTAGCCGACTTCTGGAGGTTCCTACGGATCCAGTGATTCTGGTTTTGGAAATAGGATTTATTCATCCTTGTTACTAACATTTTGAAGAATGTTACTTCGCAGAGATATTAATGAAAGTATAGTTTGCTCAATAGGTGAGAAAATCAATATTGTATAATAGCTTGTTAGATGCATAAGTCTTTCAAATTTAAGTTCGGCTTTTAATCACGTTGGATAGTATTGCCACCTAGTGGGGAATATAAAAATTATTCCTGGAACTACATACCGAGACTACTGGGTAAATTATTGTGGATAAGGTTATTAATGTTCTGAAACTGAACCTAAACAGGCTATTTCAAGAAGAATTCCGTTGGCCTGGTATTTGCTGTAACTCAGGTGATCTGACTGACCTGCTGATCACAAGGTCAACTGAAATTTCTAATAAGGAAAGTTCAACATTTCTTTGAAACTTTGTCCTTAAAATATATTCCTAAGAGTGTGCACAGAAAAAAAAAAAGAGAATACTATAGTCAATACTGTATCCAAAATGTACTTGAATTAATTCTTTTCTCTATTACCCACTGAATACACAGGATTGCTTTTGTTCACACATTTTCATTTACTTTTTCCAACATTTTATCATAAAATTTTCAAACAAGCTGAAAAAATTTTACAGTGAACATCTACACACCCACTACCCACTACCTAGAGTCTACCACTGCTTTACCACATCCATCTAAACATCCCCATGTCTATCCATCTATTTTATGTTTTTGAAGCATTTCAAAATAAACTGCAGATATTGGCTCATTTCCCTCTAAATACTTCAATGTCCATTATCATTAACAAGTTTTTATTTATGTTTTCCATTTATGAAATACATCATTCAAAAGTAAAGAGGTAGATCCTCAAAAGTCTCACTCCTATCCTGTTCTCACTCCCATTAAATAACTACATTCCATTTTCATTCATTCTTGATTGAGCCTGTTTCTTTTTTATGAATATGTAAATACAGACATACATTCTCAATACTTTCTTCAATAAGGGTAGGATGCTACATATACTCTCTCATTCCACTCTTTTCACTTAATGGCATATCCTGAGAATTCTCCATTTCAGAGATCTTCCTAATTCTTTGTTTATGGCTTCATAGTACTATATTGCATAGCTAAATTGTAATATATTCAACCCACCTTCTATGTACTATGCAATTTACATGCCTTTCCAATCGTTAGGCATCATAGATCATGTCATAATGAAAAGCCCTGCACACGTTATCTTAAATTTATGGTGGCAAACCTTCAGAGTAAACCCCCAGAAGTGGAATTGCTAGGTTCAAAGTCAATGTGCATATGGACAGGGCAGCAATGAATTGGTACAAACAGCCAATTAATACAGGGCCTTTACATTCTGCACTCCCACTAGCCATGTAAGAGAATACTTGCTCCCTCCCAGCCTTGCCTAGTGTTTCATTAGTATTCTGCTGCCTGTAGCAAATTATCACACTCTTATCAGCTTAAAACCAAACACATTTATTATCTCATAGTTACTATGTGTCAGCAGTCTGAGCACAGCTTAGTTGGGCCCTGTGTTCATGGTCCTACAAGGCTGTATATGATGTGTTAATAGGGCTGTGTTCTCATTTGGAGGCTCCAGTGAGGACAACTCTGACTCTGAGCCTCTTCAGGTTCTCGGCAGAATTTTTCTCTTTGGGGCTATAGAACTCACGGTGGCTGGTTTCTTCAAGGCCAGTAGGGGATGGTCTCAGCCCTCAAGAAAGGTTGAAGCCTTTTGTAGAAGGGCACCCTACTAGTAAGTCAGGGCCACCAGGATAATATCCCTTTTGATTAATATAAAGCCAACTGATTGGGACCTTAATTACATACAGAAAATCCACCTGCCTTTGCCATATACAATAACCTATTCAAGGGCATAACTCCAAAGATCAGATATCATGGGGGACTGTTTTAGAATTTTGCTTACTGGAAGTACCATAGTCAAGCTTTTGAATATTTGCCAATCTGGGGCACCTGGATGGCTCAGTGGTTGAGTGTCTGCCTTTGGCTCAAGTAATGATCCTAGGGTCCTGGGATTGAGTCCAACATCGGACTCCCCACAGGGAACCCGCTTCTCCCTCTATGTCTCTGCCTCTCATGAATAAATACTAATAAAAAAAAAAGAATATTTGCCAATCGGCTTGGTGAGAAAGTTTCTCAGTGCTTTCATTTGCAGATCTCTTTTTTATGAGTGAGGTTGAGTGTTGTTTCAAACATTTAAGAATCATTTGTATATCTTCTTCCCTGAACTCTGTATTCCCGTCTTTTGTCCTTTTTCCCAATGAGTTGGTGGTTTTATTCCCTTCAATGTTTTCAGAGCTCTTTATTAATTAGGGAAATGAGGACTTTATCTGCAAAATATATTGCATACATTTTCTCTCAGCTCATCATTTGCCTTTTGTCTCTGCTTATGGAAATCATCTGGTTTTTAAGATGCTGAAAAAAATTTCAATTTTTCTAATCAATGTGTAGGCTACTATGATCTAGGCTAAGTAAAACATACCTAAAGGCCCACATATAGCACATGGGCACCATCCACACCATCCTGTCTTTTAATTCTGCACCAAAAGTATCCTCTAAAGACAGTTGACATATATACATATACTATATATACACACATACTACATAATTTCTAATATCACTTGAGTCATTAATTTTGAACCTCCATTGGTAATATGTTTCACTATATCACATCCCTTAGCTATGCTTCTACTACATCAAATGGTTTGTCAAAAAATAAATTGGGGGACAGTGGTTGAGTGTCTGCCTTTGGCTCAAGTAATGATCCTAGGGTCCTGGGATTGAGTCCCACATAGGGCTCCCCACAGAGAGTCTTCTCCTCCCTCTGCCTATGTCTCTGCCTCTCTGTTTTTCATGAATAATAAAATCTTTAAAAATAAATAAAATACAATAAAAAATAAATTGGTGTAAAAATGTGTGGTTGCCAAGGGTTTTTTTTTTAAATTTTATTTATTTATTCATAGAGACAGAGAGAGAGAGAGAGAGAGGCAGAGACACAGGCAGAGGGAGAAGCAGGCATCATACAGAGAGCCTGATGTGGGACTGGATCCAGGGTCTCCAGGATCACGCCCTGGGCTGCAGGCGGCGCTAAACCACTGCGCCACCGGGGCTGCCCTGCCAAGGTTTTTATAGCCAAATATTTTCCAGTATTTCCACTTCCTCACTCCTTGTTTAATCCTTTTTAAGTTACTACTCTTAAAAAATTTATTATTGAATTTTTCAAACATATAGAAAAGTAGAGGGGATAAGAAGAATAAATTCTCAGGTATTCATTCATGTATGCTAACCTCAATGGTTATCAACACAAGGCCACTACTATTTTATTTATACCAATGGCTCTTAATTGTGGGTGATTTTCCCCACAGGAGTATTTGTCAGTATCTGTATTTTTTTTAAGATTTCTTTTATTTTTAAGTAATCTTTACACCCAACATGGGGCTCGGACTCACAATCTTGAGGTCAAGAGTTGTATGTTATACTGACTGAGACTGCGAGGCCCCACTCAATGTCTGTATTTTTGTTCATCACAACTGAGGAGCAGTCCTGGCAGCTAGTGGATAGACACCAGGGATGCTGCAAAGGTCAGCCCCCCACAACAGAGTTATCTGGCCCAAAATGTCAATCATATCCATGTTAAGAAAATCTTATATTTTTACCCTTCCTTCTGAATTGATTTATGTCAAGTATCAGATATACCATTAATCTATAAATAGTATTTATAGGTTAAAAACCTTTAGAGTAAAAACCACAATACCATTATTTTTTTTATTTGTTTTTATTGAAGTTCGATTTGCCAACATATAGTATAACACCCAGTGCTCATCCCATCAAGTGCCCTCCTCAGTGCCCGTCACCCAGTTACCCCAACCCCCCACCCGCCTCCCCTTCCACAACTCTTTGTTTGTTTCCTAGAGTTAGGAGTCTCTCGTGGTTTATCTCCCTAATTTTTCCACCCAGTTCCCTCCTTTCCTTTATAATCCCTTTCACTATTTCTTATATTCCCTGTATGAGTGAAACCATATGATGATTGTCCTTCCTCAACTGACTTCACTCAGCATGATAACCTCCAGTTCCATCCACGTCGAAGCAAATGGTGGGTATTTGTCCTTTCTCATGGCTGAGTAATATTCCATGGTATATACAGACCACATCTTCTTTATCCATTCATCTGTCAAAGGACATCGTGGCTTCTTCCATAGTTTGGCTATTGTGGACATGGCTGCCATGAAGATTGAAGTGCAGGTGTCCCAGTGTTTCACTCCATCTGCAGCTTTGGGGCAAATCCCCAGCAGTGCAATTGCTGGGTCGTGGAGCAGATCTATTTTTAACTCTATGAGGAACCTCCACACAGTTTTCCAGAGTGGCTGCACCAGTTCACATTCCCACCAACAGTGCAAGAGGGTTCCTCTTTCTCTTCATCCTCTCCAACATTTGTTGTTTCCTGCCTTGTTAATTTTCACCATTCTCACTGGTAGGAGTTAGTATCTCAACCACAATACCATTATTATACCTATGTCTTAACATCATAAAATACAGTGTTCACATTTCCCTTATTACTTTTTTATAGTTGGTTAATTCAAACAAGATCCACAAGTTTTGCATTTGTTAATATCTTTTCTTATATTCTACAAATCCTTCCTGATAGCTTTTTAACTTGCCATTTAGTGGTTGGGAAAAAAAATCGATTATTTGTCTTGTAGAATTTCCTATACTTTGGATTTTGCTGATGGCATTCCCATGGTGTTTAACATATTTCTCTATTTCTAGTACTTCCTTAAACTGGCAATAGGTTTTCAATTCGGATTCAATTTTGGAGCAAGAATACCTTTTAGGTGGTACATTTACCTTTAAAGAGATTTTCAGGAAAAAAGCTGGTGAATCTTTGTTTCTAAGTATAACCCGGTGATCTAGAAAATAAATTCTGAACTCTTGACATTCTCATATTAGAAAATTTAGGAGCAGAGAGAGTATGAAGAGTTCATACTCTCCACCATTTTCTCATATGGCAGCCTAACCTAGGATGATGAGCGTTCTAGGGGTCCCCCAAGCCTAGAGAGTCCCACGCAACGTTCCTACTGGCAGCACAGTGCCTAACTAAGATAACTGGAGTCTAAGATGAAGGGCTTCTAATTTCCTGACAGCCTCTGGTCAATTTGGATCTAGTCTCTTGGGCATAATAATAAACTCCACTCTGCAGGGGACTGAAAGGACAATCTGATTTAAAACGAACTATTCATCCTACTCCTTAGAGGGAAAAACTTGGTGATCTTCTAAAGGAGATCAGGTGTCTTTCTCTGCAAGCACACAGGTGCACAGGTATCAACGCACCCCAAGGTCACTGGAGTGGCAACCAGTTAGCACAACAGCTGTCCTGGCAGATAATACGTAGAAGGAGATTTTGCTGAGTAAACTACATTCCTAGTTTTCCTGTTAATACCCAGTAAGTGCTGGTGAGGGAGGTGTGCAGACAGAGATCGTCAGAACCCAGCAGCTAAAGGTTCCCAGGGACCCCCACGTACCCTCCCCCACCCCAGGGGCAATATTGCAATAGAATGGGTCTGGTCTCTAGGACACACCTTCCAGAGAAGAGAGTCCTCTGGCACCCTCGAGGGTGGATTTCAGATAAGCTCCAGAGGGATTTCCAGCAAGTTCCCTGGATGCAGCACCAAGGCACTTCCCTGCTCCTAGCATGCCCTCTCCAACAAAGTCCAGATCTCAACACAGATGGGTCTGCCCTGAACGCTGTGTTTCAGCTAGTGGAACAGGAGTGGCTCCTTCGACTGCACTCGTTCGAGTTCTCTGTGCTTCCCTGGGTGCCAAGGAAGAGCGCCTAAGGAATGTCCTCTTCTCTGGGATCCAGGCCTCACTGGGGGAAAACTGACATTAGCAGAAGTTGCTGTGCTGCTGGAACTTGGAAATCTTCCCTCAGGGACTGGACGATGAATTTGAAGCCGAGAGGCAATCAATTGGTACCTGGCACATGTCCCGACACCAGCCCTACTGCTCACAGTTTCTTTGTGTAATAGACAGGTAGTATTTGCATTGTTCACTCAGCAGGTTTTTGTGCTGACTGAAGTGAAATAGCATATGTGAAATGTTTCATAAAAGATACAAATGTTAAGATAGGATTAAAGTTATATGGCTTTAAAAATGAAGTGAAATGAAATGAAATGAAATTATACAGCTTAAGGATGACTTTTCTTGGTTTCAGGTGCTCTGATACCATCTTTGCTGACTTTTCTCAGGCCCTGGGCCACTTGAGGGTCTCCCTAGCCAAGCTCTGCCTCCTGGTTTATTTGCTGACATGCAGACACTCAGTGGCAGGCAAGGCAGTTTCTAACCCTCCATGAGTGAGGGGATTCTCTGTATATTCTCCCCAGCATCCAGGTGGTCTCTCCTAGGGACCTGCTTGTATTACCTCAGTCAGCTTCTTTATTATTTAGCTTTATTGTAATATAACTCATGTACAATAGAATTCACCTATTTTAAGTATACAGTTTATGAGTTTGGTTAATTATATACAGTCTCATAACCCCCACCACATTTTCTTAGCCCTCAAAAAGCACCCTTGGCCTCGACTACTTTGAGAGCTTGACTTATGTGTTTTCCATTTTCAATACTCTGGCTCACTTTCTGGGCTGCTCACCTGGTTACCACATTTCATTTTACTGAGAAACATATCTGTTTTCATCCTACCACACAGACGGGAAGTAACTGATGGGTTTAGTGATCAATGACTGAAGAACCTTTTCCTGGCTCAATTAAAAGGTTCACTCTAGGGGTGCCTGGGTGGCTTAGTCAGTGAAGCATCTGCCTTTGGCTCAGGTCATGATCCCAGGGTCCTGGGAGCAGGGAGGAAGGGCAGAAGGTGAGGGAGAAGCAGACTCCTTGCAGGGAGCCTGATGTGGGGCTTGATCCCAGGACACCAGGATCACACCGTGAGCCAAATGATGAGCTCAACCACTGAGCCACGCAGGCGCCCCTAGAATGGACGTTTTAATACAGTTTATGGGCTAATCTCCCTATACTGGGAAGCCATATACCCAGAAGGTCTCCTCCCTTTCCTGAACTGAAGTCTGGCCACTTTCCTTTGAGCTAGTTCTAAGCTTTTCTTCTGGCTCAAGATTTTTTTTTTTATATGCAATTATTTTCATTCCTCTTTTTGAGCCTCTCACTTTTTCCTAATGTCTATGAATAAAATTTTGCATCTCCTGTATTATTTCTATATTTACCAAAAATTTTCTGACAGATTAGAGGAACACATATTGTGTTTCATCAACATATTAGCACAGAGGACAGAACTTCTTGAGATTGGTGATGTGTGATGTCAAAAGCTGAAATTCTGGGTCTCATTCAAAACTCACTCAGAAATTATTCTTTTTCCGGTGGCCTCGCTGGCTCAGTCAGTAAGGCATATGACTCTTGATCTCAGGGTCATGAATTCATGCCCCACGTTGGGTGTAGAGATTGCTTAAAAAAAAAAAAAAGAATAAACTTAAAAAAATGTATTCCTTTCATTAAGAACAATTAGAACAGATTTTCAAAGAAAAGGCTTTTTCCTCCTCTTGAGAGACTTTTTAAACTTTTATTTTTTTTTATGTAAGCTTTGTGCCCAACATGAGGATAGAACTCAGGACCCTGAAATCAAGAGTTACGTGAGAGCCCTTTTAGAATGCAGGAACTGCTTAGTTCTGCTTCAAATACAATAAAACTGAAATGACCATAAAAAGAAAAGATCACACAAATGGTGGGGATTGCTAAGGTACTTGGCTCTGATCAGTACTGGAGTGTAGCTGACTACTCCCACTCTGAAGTGAGGAGCCAGCAGTTGAGTTAGGATAGAATAGGAAAGATGGAAAGCTTTCTGTTATGGGTTGAATTGTGTCTCCCACCACCATCAACTCATAGGTTGGAATCCTAACTCTCAGTACCTTACAATGTGATCTTTTTTTTAAAGATTTTTTTTTTATTTATTCATGAGAGACACAGAAGAGAGGCAGAGACACAGGCAGAGGGAGAAGCAGGCTCCATGCAGGGAGCCTGACATGGGACTTGACCCTGAGTCTCCAGGATCATGCCCTGGGCTGAAGGCGGCCATAAACCATTGAGCTACCTGGGCTGCCCCACAACGTGATCTTATTTGAAGACAGGGTTTTTACAGAGGCAATATAGTTAAAATGATAGAGTAGAACCCATCTTCCTCAGTTTGGGCTAATATGGCAAAAATACCGGAGACTGAGCGGCTTTAACAACAAACATTTATTTCTCACAGTTCTGGAAGCTGCACATTCTGTCTGGTGAGGGCCTGCTATTTGGTGCTTCTTGGCCACCTTTTCAGTGTCCTTACATGATGGCAGGAGTGAGGGAGTTCTCTGGGGTCTCTTTCATAAGGACACTAACTCCATTTATAGTTACTGCCCAAGGGCCCTCTCTTCCAAATAGTATCACATCAGGGATTAGGTTTCAAAGGTTTGGAGGGATACAAACATGCAGTCTGTAGTAGACCCTATCCCATATGACTGATGTCCTTAAAAGATGGGGAAATTTGGACACAGAGACACATGTAGAAAGGAGGATGGTGGGAAGAAGAATAGGGAGAAGGTGGCCATTTTTAAGGCAGGGAGACAAGTTTGCAACAGGTCCTCCCTTTATAGCCTTCACAAGGAACCAGCATCTGCCACTAGAAAACAGAGCTGCAATCCTTCATCTAAACACGCTTAAGAATTTCCTTTGAAACTGGTAAGACGTAAGGCATATAAAGCATAGTTTGCTCTCTCCTTCATATACGATGTTCCTACTAACCCATCAGCTGAGAATGGGCTGTATTGTGTTTCTAGGCCTTCCTATCTGAAGGGAATCCAAGTACATCCTCAGTCAAGGTTCAGGCAAGGCTTTCTTTCCCATTGTGAGGGCTAATTTTAAGTCAACTTGACTGAGTCTTGCAGTGCCCAGATATTTGGTCAAACATTACTATAGGTGTTTCTGTTGGGTAACGGTGCCTTTGAATGAGATTAACATTTAAGTAAATAAACTGAGTAAAACTTTCATAATGTGAATAGGCCTCACACACTCAAATGGAAGCCTGACCCAACCGCCCCCCCAACCACCACCCCAACCCCATCCCCCCAGGCACCTCCAATAAGAAATTCTCCTTGCCTGATGGCCTTTGAACTGGGACATTGACTCTGCAGATTTTGGACTTGCCAGCTGACATAATCACGTGTGCAAATTCCTTATATTTCTATCTATCCTATTGGTTTTGTTTCTCTTGAACAAATATACTTAATATGCTTGTCCTCCCTTATGTAGCCAGCTAGCAATTCATTCTCATCATATAAACTGACTCAACAAGTTAACTTTTGTAAAATTAACTGTGAATTTTGTGAAAATTTTCTCCACGTCCAAATCCTCTCAGAAATGGCCTGGGTTTAAGAAATAAAATATAAAGAACTATTAAAGGAAAGAGATTAAGAAGAAAATTTCTACCTAGAGTACACTTGTTTTGAAAAAGGAACATTGACGGCCCATTGTGAAATTTCAGCAGTTTCTTTATACAAATGACAACTACCAGACCCAGATATGTCTTTTGTGAATAGTGAACTTCTCAGGATCAATACTCATTATTCTGAAAAGTGAAAATTAAATCACCCTTTTAAAATACAAATAAACTGGGGCAACTTGCTGGCTCACAGGAAAAGTATGCAACTCTTGATTTTGGGTTCTGAGTTTGAGCCCCATATTGGGTGTAGAGATTACTTAAAAAAAATAATAAGGACAGCTGGGTGGTTCAGTGGTTGAGCATCGGCCTTTGGCTCAGGGCGTGATCCTAGGGTCCTGGGATCAAGTCCCACGTTGGGTTCCCTGCAGGGAGCCTGCTTCTCTCTCTGCCTATGTCTCTGCCTCTCTCATGAACAAATAAATAAAATCTTAAAATAAATAAATAAATAAATAAATAAATAAATAAATAAATAAATAAATAAATAAATTTTGTGGGGTGCCTGACTGGCTCATTTGGAAGAGCATGTAGCTTGAGCATGACCCCACTTGGGGTCATGAATTTGAGCCCCATGTTGGGCACAGAGATAACTTAAGTAAAATAAATGAAGTAAAGTAAGAAAGAAACGGAGCTTTTAAATAAATAAATAAGTAAATAAATAATACAAAATGAGAAGAAAAATTATATATAATGGCTTAACTACAAGGTTTATGTTCATCATGAACTATGTTCACAATGTGTTTTATTTTTCATGTTATTGGTACTTTATAATCACCGGTTTACTGCCTTTTATCTTAGAACTGATTTATCATCATTAAAATTAGTCTGTATCTCATATTATCAATTATTAAAATGTTACCTTAAAAAATAAAGACCCTAGGTCTCCTGGCTGGCTCAGTCAGTAGAGTGTGTGGGACTCTTGATCACCAGGCTGTGAGTTCAAGCCCCATGCTTGGTGTAAAGCCTATACAGAAAAATTAAAAAATAATAAACAATAAAATAAAAACCCTAATTCTGATACATTGTTTGAATCCAGATTTCTTTTCTGTCCTCAATTTTCAACTTTGTGCACTTCTCAATCTAAAATGTAAATTCAACTATTTGAGTATATTTCAGAGTAGAGGAATTGGATCACTCTATAAATGATCCTAGATGAGCTTTTTGAAAAGAATGTAATAAATAGTTATGTGTTCCCCTAGAGCAGTTTTCAGAAAAATAGTATCACGCAATAGGCAATTTCTGAGCTCTGGTTGAAAACCTTGGGACTTTAGCCTTAATAAATGATAAATTTTAAAAAGGTACATGTCATTTAGGCTGGTCCTGCTGCCTTTCATTAGCATTTTAATTTGATATTCTTTATACCATGTTAAACAACATGGTTTTGTTTTTCTAATACAGTATATTATATTATAGTGCTTCTTTCCCTCCTTCTCTTTTCGCAAACTGATTATGTTGTTAGGCCAGACTGGAAAAAAACAGCTCTATAATGCACAGCAATGGTTTGTGCTCAGCTAGAAGTGGCTAATAGATCACAGAAAAATATCCATGATTTCCTTTAAACATGTGTAGCGTAACACTGAGGTGAACTGAAGGATTATATGTGAGCCAGTATTACTGCATGATCGTAATCCAATCAATACCCATGATTTCCTTAATGCAGATAAAACAGGATATTCGGATGTTCAGAGACAAATTCTGATTAAATGACAACCACTTACTTGCTACTTTTTTCCAGATCCCTTCAAAATCGATTTCCCTATGAATTTGTTTTTCAAAACCAGTATCAAAGTGTACGTTTTAGAGACACTCCCAGTCCTTTGGGGGCTCGAGGATCTTCTGCCTCTGGAGAGAGAAGTACTTTCAGAACCTCTTTCCACATGTGGACTTTGAGTCAGAAGAGCTGAAGTCTCAGTCTGTCACTGCCTAGTGGTGTCATCTAGCCTCGCAGTCTTGTGAAGAAGGGAGCAGAAAACATCTGACAGGGCTCTTAAGAGGATTCAAAAAAAAAAAAGATGTTATTTACTTATTCATGAGAGAGAGAGAGAGAGAGAGAGAGAGGGAGAAGCAGGCTCCGTGCGGGGAGCCCACGCAGGACCCCTTCCCGGATCCGGGGGTCACGCCCTGAGCCGAAGGCGGAGGCTCACCCGCGGAGCCCCCCGGGCGTCCCTATCAAGAGGATTTAGTGGTATTTCAAAGCAGCCACGTTTCACGGGAATGTGATGTGAGAGGCAAATAGGAGCCACATCTGTAACCAGATGCTTTTTCAGGTAGCCTTACTTTAAAAAGTAAAAAGAGGGGCAGTGGGGGTCGCATTCCTGGCGCTCAGAGGGCCGAGCCAGCCTCCGGGGTCCCCGCCGACCGCGACCGGCGACCGGCGACCGGCGACCCAGGGCGCGCGAAGCCGAGAAGCGAGGGCGCACAGCGCAGTTCCGAGTCCGCGGAACCGGGGCTCTGCCCACAGGCACCGTCCAGGACTTCCCACAGCGCACTTTGTTCTCTCGGAGTCCGCCTGCAGCGGGAGCGCTTCCTCCGCCCCTGGCCCTCCCCGGCCGAGGGTGCAGAGAGCGCTGCACCGCGGGGGGAGCTCCGAGGGAAGGTCGGAGGGCAACGACCTCCCCGCGGGCAGAAGCCTCCGGGCGTCCCCACCCAAAGCCGCGCAGCTCTCACCGCGCAGGCGCACAGAGGGGCGGGGCCGAGGCGGGCGGCGATTCGCCGGACCGTCTGACGTCAGCGGGTCACGTGCCGTCGAGGCGGGCAGGCGGAGTTCGCCAGCTTTCCAGCGGCGCCGGCCAGTCAGTGCAGCGGCCGTGGAGCCTGTGCGACGTTCTCTCGCTACAGCTACCTGCGTCCGCTACGAGGCTTGAACGCTCCCGTTCCACAAGGGTGAGGGACGTGGTAGGCGGGGGGCCTCCCGCGTGCCGGCGGCCGGGGCGCGGCCGGGGTCCGGGCGGACGTTGCGGGGAGCGCGGGGAAGGCGGGGCCGGCGGGCGAGGGCCTACCCCCATTGGCTGGGTCGGTTTTGGCGCGCTCTCCCATCCGCGCTCCCGATTGGTTGGCGGGCGCGTCCAGGTGGGCCCCCCCCCCCCGGCGGGGTGGGAGCTCGGGCCTGTGCTGTGCGCGTGCCCGGCTGTGGGGGCGGGGCGGATCCCCAGCATCTTGCCTTGAAGACCACCGGGCTTGCCGGCCTGGCCGGTGTCTTCTGCTCCTCCTCGTCTCCTTGGGACCCAGCCCGGGGCCGGAGAGGTAAGGGCGCGGAGTTGCCGGCCAGAGCCCCATAGACGTGGGACAGGCCATCCTCGGGCAGTGGCTTCCACCTGTTCTAATCGGGACACTCACTGAATTGTCCCTTCAGGATGCAGCCAGACAAGGGAGGTAGAAGTTCCACAGAGCGGTACCATGCTGTGCGCTCTCGTGTTTTCTCGTCTCTTCATTTTCATTTTTCCTAAGATTTTATTTAAGAGTGAGTGAGCACAGGCTGGAGGGGGAGGGGCAGAGGGAGAAGCCGACTCCACTCTGAGGAGGGAGCCTGATGTGGGGCTCGGACCTGAGCCGAAGGCTGACGCTCAACTGACTGGAGCGCCCCCAGTTCCATTTTTTTCCAGGGTTCCTGACCCAGTAAACGGTTTGGAGATCCCGGGCTGCGACCTGCAGTTTGAAAAAAACATTGCTCAGTTTAGGGGGTCCCCACCAGCATTTGCTTCACAGGAGATAGAAGTGAAAATAGGGTGCATCCTACAATCCTGGAAATTGTAGGTGCATCCTACAATTTTTTTTTTGTTTCAAACTAAACTTTCAATGAGTTTTGCGTGTGCTAGGCACAGTGTAAAATGTAGGAACAGATGGGTCATAGTTGCTACATAATCTACAACAATCCCTCAGATCTGTTCGGCAGGCACAGACCTGTCCAGGAGGTGAGAGGTTGGGTTTGGAGAGAGTCTGGCCCAGTGGTCTGGGCCACATTAACCACATTGCATAATCCCTTTCTCTTCTCTCTCTTTCTTGCTTCCAGCAGTGTCTCAGTACATGGTGGTGGTTAAACATTCCATACAAATGGGAATACATAATCTCATTAGATCGGATATTAAATCACTACTAACTTATTGCTGGTCACCAGAGCCAATTTTTTTTATCACTTAAAACTGCCTTTGAAACAGCAAAGTCAGAATGCCGTTCTGTAGAACAGAGTTGAGCATACCCATGTACCTGGTGACCATTTCTCAGATTTTTTGAGTCCTCCGTTTAGTCCGGAACACCACAGTGTTTAGTAAAATTTGTTTAGAATGCCTCATTTTCCTGTTGTAACAAGATGTTTCCAAGCAGAATTACTGCGTGTGCGTGTGTGTGTTAAATACAGACATTAAAGAGTCATTGATAAGGCTGAGTTTGGGTACGGTGAGAAAAAATACTAGTTCCACCATCCAGTAGTATGGTGTCTATGATTGTAAATACTTTCAACAGCAATAATCTAAACTCCACCTTCAGGTGCAGACCATTTTCTGTTTATGAATGACTAGTCTTTTGTGCTTCATCAGGTTTATCATGAATCCCAGTATGAAGCAGAAACAAGAAGGAGTGAAAGAGAATGTAAAGGTATGTGATGGAATCACTTTCATTTGTTGGAGAAAACATGTGGTTTTGACATAACTAAATTTAACCTCGCTATCCTTTCTATAAACTTTGAAGTGCTGAACTTTAGCCAGAGGATAAGTAGCAGTGGAGAACTTAAAAGAAAAATTACCATTGAACAGTAAGTTTTATGATCCCATGAACGAACACATGATGTCTTTCCATTTGTTTAGGTCTCTAATTTCTTTCAACAATGTTTTGGTAGTTTTCAGAGTATTGAGTTTTAGACTCCTTTAATTCACCCCCCCCCCCCCCCCGGTCTTTTTAAAAAAAATTTATTCATGAGACACAGAGGCAGAGAGACACAGGCAAGAAGCAGGCTCCCTATAGGGAGCCCGATGCAGGGCTTGATTCCAGGACTCCGGGGTCACCATCTGAGCCAAAGGCAGATGCTCAGCTACTGAGCCACCCAAATGTCCCCCTATTTTGTTTGTAATGGTACTGTAGGTAGAATTTTTACTTGAATTACATTTTCTGTGTGCTCATTGCTACTGGAGGGAAAACAGTTCGTTTTTGTATTTTGAATTTGATCTTAAATCCCTGCAATCCTGCTGAACTTGTTTATTTTTTAAAGATTTTATTTATTAAAAAAAAAGATTTTATTTATTTACTCATGAGAGACACAGAGAGGCAGAGACATAGGCAGAGAGAGAAGCAGACTCCATGCAGGGAGCCCGATCTGGGACTCAATCCCGACACCCTGAGCCAAAGGCAGATGCTCAACCGCTAAGCCATGCAGACGTCCCTGAACTTGTTTATTAATTAGCTCTAATAGTTTTTTTTTTTTTAGTAGATTCCTTAGGATTTTCTGTAAATAAGATTATGATTGCTTTCGTTCCGCTCTTACATTTTATGAAATGACTTTATTAAAATCCTTTGTATCTTGAGAATTGGTGTCTTTGACAACAGAAACACATTTTGTGTTCTAGTGCACATGTTTTCAGAGTACATCACACTTGTCACCATTTAACCTCGTTTTGCTACACTTTTTGAGTCCCTGTAAGATACCATCATTGGAAATCTTATCCCAAATATTTATTCATATAACAATAAGAACAGAGTTTAATTTTGAGTTCATAACTTTGCCTGTAAATGAATTTACAACATAACTAGGTTCTGCCACACAGTTTAGAGGGTGAGGATTCCTGGGAATGAGACCATATCTTCAGGAAAACTGTCATTTTGCAGATTTAAATTAAATAAATAAGAGCCTTTCATAAGTGATAGCAGGTGCTTTCTGATAGCTGATTTACCTTGCCTTAGTATGCTTACATTATTTTTTAAAAATAATACTGTGCACTGATAATTTGAGTCCATCTCTTTCCATTTAGGATGATGACATTCCCACTGAGCTTTGTGTGCTTAAACTTTTTATTATGAAAACTTTCAAATACTCAGAAATGGAGTCAATAGTATAACATAATTTCAATTAACTTTCCACTTTTCGGGATCCCTGGGTGGCGCAGCGGTTTGGCGCCTGCCTTTGGCCCAGGGCGCGATCCTGGAGATCCGGGATCGAATCCCACATCGGGTTCCCAGTGCATGGAGCCTGCTTCTCCCTCTGCCTGTGTCTCTGCCTCTCTCTCTCTCTGTGACTATCATAAATAAATAAAAATGAAAAAAATTTAAAAAAAAAAAAAACAACTTTCCACTTTTCAACAGTTAGCAGTATGTGGCTAATCTTGTTTTATCTATATCTTCACTCCTCCTTAAGCCACCTAATTAATTTGAGGCAAATCCCAGTTTATATCTTTCAGCAGATCCTTATATATAAAGAAAAATGTCATGTTTACTAGCTAGAATACAAACTATCCTGGGTATAAAAAGAGTGGGTTCTGTTGGCTTCTGATTAAGCCTCCAGAACTGTAACCTTTGGTGAATTGTTTAGCACCTCAGCCTCAGTTTACATCTCTGTAAAACAAGGAAATTGGACTAAAACTAGATCTGTAAGAGTACCCTACTAATTATATATATATGCAAAATTCCATGTGAGTGGTGCTCTTGTGTGCATTGTTTGTTGTTTTTTGAGAGAGAGAAAGAGAATGGGTCATGGGATCTCAAAAGGTTTTCTGAAAAGAGTAAGACCCATTAATATCTAAGAACCTGAACCTCTTGGCTCTAAAGAGTGTCACTCAAGGGATGCCTGGGTGGCTCAATGGTTGAGTGTCTGCCTTCAGCTCAAGTTGTGATCCCAGGATTCTGGGATCGAGTCCCATGTCAGGCTCCGTGCATGGAGCCTCCTTCTCCCTCTGCCTATGTCTCTGCCCCTCTCTCTGTCTCTCTGATGAGTAAATAAAATCTTAAAAAAGAGTCTGTTACTCCAATGCGTGATCTGTGTAAAA